TCGAAAGTCGATAGAAAACGAAAAATCGCCTACTCCAGTCGATTTTCTCGCCCGATAGTGTTTCAAATTCGAAATTCGAATTTTTATGTCGAAAAATCATAGAGATTTTCACCAAAAATAAAAATAAACTGAAGATTTCGAAATACACATCCGCTGACTAAGTTTTGGATCCTGGTTCCGAATATGATATTTTTATTACATAGAAGTTGAGTTCTGGTTGAGAAAATTGAGAATTGCTCCGTTTTTTGACACCAAAAATAATTTAAAACGGATTTTTGAGACAAAAAGTAAAAAAAGTGGCTCGGACAATTGAGACATCCCATCGAAGATGTTGTCTACAAAGTGGTCAGACTAATGTCTTCATAGATGTACTGGATAAATACTTGATATATATCTCGATTTTACCCCTAGCGGCAGATAAAAATGATTCTACTTTTGTCAGTACATTCAGATCCGGAATGGTTTATATATAGAAAAGTGCAGAATTGAAAGGGCTATACAATGAGTTATAACACATTGTTGAGACAGTTTGCCTTCATAAATGTATTGGACTTTCGCTGTCTCACTCCTGCAGTGACTCCTAATTACGCATGTTTTCGTGTATAAGACTCTATTAAGAACGTCGAACATGCAGCGAAAAAGGAATAAATACGATGTAATAGGTTTTTTGGACCGATGCTCAAAAGTGATTAAAAATTCCAGCATTTGATAGTCTACAATCAACTTTCGAGGCACAGAAAAATTAAGAACTAAATAACGAACGGTTTTTGATCAGTTCCAGTCGCTTTCTTCTGAAAAATATATAGGGCGGTTTTCTTGCAGAAACCGTCCGTTGTCCTTTAGGGCCTTTTTGTAAATTCTATAACTTCGCAAAGAAAGGTCGCGTAGAGGTCGGAGATGTCTAATTTCGATTATAATTTCAAAGGCTACAATCGTGACTTAAAGGGAAAGTTTTGAAGATTTTTCGAGGTTTCTGGAAAACCAGCTTTCTAGAAAATCGCCCTAGAAAGGCCTAGCAGTCCGTCTCAGATGGATATTCGGAATCAACGTGGTCGATAACCTATAACCCACCAGGTTTGGTGAAAAAAGCGATTGATCAGTTAGATATGTTCTCTAGTTTATTCTGTATCTAACCGTGTATGTGTCGATGAAATTCAAGCAAGGGCCGATTCCATTAAATAATTGCCCCCGTCCTTTAGGAGGATAATTTTTTGAAAATTTCATTAGAATATTTGAAAAGTGGTATGGAGAGAGCTATGTTATTTAATAGTCTTGATTAAAACTGTGTTGGATGAAAAACAATAACGAAAACAATACATAAAATGAAAATGATTCTAGTTAGCCACTTTGTAATTAAAAATTGTTCTTGTAAACGATGATTTTTTTTCTACATTACAATTAACTCTCCAAAACATTCGAACGTTGAAGACTAATACTGAAGATTTCACAAAGATCTTCCAAAAATCTTCTCACAGGCTGAATACTTTTCATTCCTTTTGTCGTTAGAATCATGGATGATATATGCATTAAATGCCAATATATTATTAAAAAAGAATGCCGGTGGCTATTTCTTTAATAACTTTGAATATTCGAAGACCTGCAATTATCAGCATTGCGTAGGGAAGATAATTAGCTACACATTTTGAAAAAAAATGCAGTTTACGTAAGTTTTTATTAGTAATTTATTTTAAAATTTTCCCACTAAAATGGAAAAAATGCTCCGCTATGAAGAGAGCTATCCTGAACAGCTTTGCCAGCATCTTTGCCAATAACACCGAGTCGATTGCACAACTTCAATCGTTGTACAGAATATAGATACAGAACGGCGAATTTAGTTTTGTAGTTTACTACAAAGCTAAGTTCACATGTTCGAATCTCTATTCGTACAAAAATTCATTTTGTATTTTTCGATAGTTTTAGTTTAGAATACTATAATGGAATGTTCTTCCGCTTGTATTCTGACAGAATAAAGCTATAACAACTTTGCCAGCGAAACTTTTACTTCAAAATGCTTCGTTTTTATGAAAATGCTTGCGATAAGTTTTGAAAAAATTACTTAAAAGAAAATATTACTGGACTCAAACTGCAATAGAACGAAAAATGTTAATTTTCTCAGGCATAGTTGATTCATCTTTTCACGTACAGTCAAATCTGGCCTCTCTTTTTGGGTGCAAAGTCTAGTTTTTGAGAAACAAATGAAAAAAATTAGTTTCACGTTGAAAGTACGATAGATATCACATACTTCATTAACTCTAAACATAAAAGACAGCGCTTTCCTTTTGCTCTTATTTTCTTTTCATCCTGATTTATTTTTCTTCTCTTTCTTTGTATAGAGTATGTATTTTGTTTGAAGTATCCAACCTGTACACTACACTGATCTAATTTTTAGAAAAATATGTCTTTTAGGTTTTGAGATATATAGCTGTCAATATCGCTGGTTAAACTCAGAAACGGTGAATAAATTCACAGATACCTTACAAATTTTGATGGCTTTCCTTAGTAAGGATGCCGAAACAATAGAACACTATTTATAACGCTGCCCTGACTATGCCTTGTATGGATAACAACTTTTTCATCAGATATCTCAGCGTGATTTCAGCACTCATGTCAATACACTACTAGTGAAGCGATTTCGAAGCTACCCAACCAGTTGTTCAAGAGGTACTTCGAGTGCTCGAAAATATGCTTTCGATGGGCCTTCGCCGAGGGCTCGAACGCTCATAAGGTGACACTTTGGACCCTCGATATAAGCATCGATTTCGAACCTCGAGGGGCATCGATTTCGAGCCCTCAGATTTCAGATAGGTAGCGAGACCGTGAGAAAATGTCGAGCCATCGAACAGAGATGTTCGGGCCTTCCGGGCCCTCGTTGCACCTTCGGTGGAGCGAGAGCTCGGAAGTCCCGAACATCTCTGTTCGATGGCTCGACATTTTTCTCATGGTCTCGCTGCCTATCTGAGGGCTCGAAACCGATGCCCCTCGAAAGCTTACAGCGAGGGTCTGAAGTGCCATTTTCCGAGGATTCGAGCCCTCGACGAGGGTCTGTTTTCGAGTGCTCGCCGCATCCCTCGAACGACTTGTTTCATCAGTATGGGTATTGACGATCCTTACAATATAATCGTTAACTACATCATCAAAGCTGAACGTTATGGAGTAAAAAAGTAGTTTATCATACTCTTTACCTTCCTCTTTCTCTTCCTGGTGTTTGGTTAATTAATATATATATATATGTATATATATCTACGTGTTTTCTGTGTGTATTGGGGGGGGGGGGGGGGGGGGGGGGGGGGGGGGGGGGGGGGGGGGGGGGGGGGGGGGGGGGGGGGGGGGGGGGGGGGGGGGGGGGGGGGGGGG